ACCTAAATAGCCAGAATTGCTAGAGCATAAAAGTTAGGCTCCAAATCTTGGAAGCTTAGTTTTTACTCGAAAAAACTGACACCAACTTGGTGAATGAACAGGACTGAGCTTTTCACTCTGTTCTAGTGCACTTACTTAGGAATCCCTGTAGTATCTTTCAAAGATAAGAGCGTATCTCCCACAAACGATATATACATATACTTACTTAAAGGGTAAAATTACAAAGTGAGAGGCAAAAAGGAAGCAACTTATTTTTCTCTGCATGATATTTAAGGTGGTTGCAAATGTATTCTGGGCAAAACAGAGAAAAGTTACCTTAGAGGTGTCACCCAAGCTCTCTCTGTTGAGCAGTCACTGGAATATGGAGCCAACCTCTCACAATCAAGAGGGAGTAGGATGCCAGAAGTCAGCCTGCAAGATGTTGCATGGAAATGAGTTAGCAAGTGCTAAATCAGCTTTTATTTAAATCTTTACTTGCTCATCAATTCAGGACTTTTGAGAGCACACGTTCCCTCAAGTCTGGGACCAGAAATCACAGCGAGACCCTTTCAGGATGCAGATACTCTCACTGATTCCTCTGAGGTCCCAGATGCTCTTTACCAAAGGTGCCACTGCGGCTGAGGAAACCACTTGCTCCAGCTGCCTCCTCTATCCCTCAGCTGAAGATTACCAGCCAGCAGCTGGAGCAAAACAGGATGCATCCTGGTCTGGCTCACAAGACACTGATGGGTATTAAGGAAAAAGGGTTGAAGCCTACTACCTTGATCTGTGGCATATGAGCAGGCACTGCTGTAGGCCCTAATACAAGGGAGGTAGCATCTGGCAAAGAAGCAGGACAGCTGGTGGAGAAGATAACCTTTCCAACTACAAAAGCTAAATCAGAGACAGCTTATCTGTCAGAGCTCTCAAACGTGTAGGAACATCCTACCAGCAGAGACACATAAGATCTCATGACCTTTTTCACTGTTTTTATCAGATTGGGTTGACACAGATCTACTACTAATATAATTATGGCAGCTACACCCATGTTATTTTTTAACAGAAATAATCACGTTGACTTCCATGGATAGCATTATATAGATGGGGAGGTACCCTATCATATCAAAGCTTATTCCTTTACTACCTGAGAAGGGGATAAAATCATTTATTGTGAATTAAACTGACTCCATACTGACAGGGAGTTCCGCAAAATAAAAGAAAGCTTAAAGAAGCGTGTCTTCTATACACAGTTAATACCATTCAAAATGCACAAAGACAAGCTTACAGAAATAAATGAAGGCAAATTACTTGCATCTTAATACTATCTGCAGAGTAGTTTTCACCTATGTGGACTACATAGGGAAGCACAGGCACCTCAACATGCCAATTAAGAGAACTGCATCTATTAGAAAATACATCTACCCGAACAGCACACTGGGAAAGCCAAAAATAACAGCTGCTGCCACATGAGAACAGCAGAAGTACTGCATACAGGCGATGCCTGCAAAACAGAAACTAAGCAGCCATGCATAAACACTTCCTCTTCCTCCCCCACCACCCCTACAACAGCAGCAACAAACCTGATATTAAACACTCGCCAGCATCCTGCTCTGCATTCCTGTCACATCAGGAATAGAAAAAAGGAAGACTGCTAACTGCTCCTCCATATATCTGAAGGGTTCTTTCAGTTTACAGGAAGCAATACAAATACTTGACATGATTCTTGCAGAGGTTTCTGTCACATTTTCTTCTTTACTTTCACTCCTTTACTCTAGCTCACCCGTTTCAGAGCTCACCAGGGACCCGTTGGATTTACTAGGCTTGGTTTCATACATTCTTTCTCAAAGACAGAAGTCACAAATAAAAGCAATTGTTCCTAGGCCAGTAGCATCATACGAACAAGCAAGTGCAGAGCCATGGCTCTACTGAGCTGCCACACACAAACTCCACAAGCCAAGTTCAAACCTAAATCCTGCCCAGCACCGAGACTGACAGTGTGCCATTGTCAAATGCACGGGTAAACAAATCAGGCTGCAGTCACAGAATCATGGAATCAAACAAGTTGGAGAAGACCTTTAAGATCATCCAGTCCAAACAGTAAGTTCTGAGACTATAAATCCCAGCGTCAATGCTCAACTGTGATGCACGTGTCTCAACATGTTGCAAACTAATCGCCACTGGGCAGACTGAGGGAACGTGATGGCAGCAAGTGAACTGCAATGCCCAAGTAATGGGCATTGCAAACAAGGCCTCCATCACATTTTCTATGGCTTCAGTATCCGCATTTCAACCACAGACAGAAGAAATACTCCTTCTCTAGAGCACAGGCTGTGGGTATTCGACTTCAAACTTACCATCTACATTTCTGATTCCAATGGAGACCTTCAAACAGTGCCACCCCCTCCCCCAGTGTGCCAGTCAGCACTCACCAGATCCACAACCACCTTCAGAGGAATCAACTAAAACCTGGTATCTATAACAAGTGATCAGACCTTTTAACAAACATTTGGTGATCACTGAACCAAAGAGACTGTGCCCTGTAAGCAGATGGTCAACAAACAGCTCCAAGCTTGTACAGGCCTCATCATCTTGCACTAGTCAAGCTGAACGAGGTCACATTTTCAGTTTGATAATTTTACACAAAATGAATAAGCTCTATACATGGGGGAGGACAGAAGAGAAGAAACAAACCAGGCAGCTCAAATGGGACGGGAACAGCCTGCAACTGCATGAGTAAGAAGAAATCATAGTGCTTGCTGAGATGGTTAATCAGCCAATTAAGGACACAGGTACTGCTTCAACCTCGGCATTTTTGACCTTTGAGTGCCTGCTGTTCTAACCTTGACTTCTCACTATGTGCAACGCAATAAAGAACAACTTGCAGGTCAGTTCACTTACACAGTGTGTCATGAGAAGGGATCCTAAAGCACATCTGATTTCGCTTTCTAGAATATTTTTGTAAGGACGTTCCCAGTACTGTCATCTTGATGATGAAGCACACAACGATGCTAGTCACAAAAGCTACCAACTAAGTCTACACAAACAGAACTACTGCCTATAGAAATATTACATTAAGAATGAACAGAAACCCAAGCCCACACCATTCTGGCACCATTCGGTGCTTTGGTAGCAAAGGCCAAACTTGGAATTCAGCTTTGGAAACTCTGAATACCAAGTTAAGCTAGGTGAAACTGATGGGAGAAAAAGCGGACAGAGCAGAAACACAGCAAGACAGGCTGAAATGAGAATGTCAGCGCACACTGAAGTGTATTATTGGAAAGAAAAACAGGGGCACTCCCCCCACTGATTCAGAGCTTTACGACGGAGGAACATAGAGCCTGGTACTAATTTAAATTCAGGTTGGTTTCAGTCCAGGTCTGCAAACCCATGAGTACATTCACCTCCAGGAACTGCCAGGCACCTTCCAGCAACCACTGGGGCATCCAGCATTACCAGAGCCCATCTGCACCTGCTCCTCTGTAGTGGTGGCAGCACGCTGGGACACAGGAAGGGCCCCCAACCCCATCAACTTCCTCACCATGTTGGCTTCATGTTAGCACCGTGGTTTGCCGTGTTCCTTCCTGTGCGCAGCTTCTGTGGAAGGGAAAGACACAAAGGGAGGGGAGGCTAGAGCTGCCTGCCAGGCAAGGCCAAGGCAGGGGCAGAGCAGCCCTGCCCACGGGGCTGTCCTTGCTAAGCCCAGCTCCTAGATCTCTCCCCACGCTGGGTGACGAACCTCCTGCCCCAACTATACCACGTAAGAGACTGGCACACCCGAGTGTCCCCCCGCACACACCACAACCACGAAGACCGCGCCTAGATCCCCGCTCCCATGGGCCCGTCGCTGGCTCCCCCCCACCCCCGGCACAGCCCTCGGTCCCCCCACCCCACCCCGATCCTTCACAGGGCCGCGCCTGTGCTCCCCTCTCCCCGCAGGGTCAAGCCGGACTCCCCCTGCCTCAATCAGACCGCACCAGGCCCTCCCCTCTCCCCTCACGGGGCCGCGCCCGGCTTTCCCCTCACGGCAGCGCGCCAGGTTCTCGCTCCCTCCCCGCGCGGCAGCATGCCCAGCTCAGTCCTCCGCCGCCCGCCCTTCAGCCTGCCCCGGGCCACCACCCGCCGTGGCTCACCGGGCCGGCTCTGCCTGCCCAGCCCGGGGCTGGCGACACCGAGCCCACAACACCACCGCCACCGCCCGCTCCCCACCGTTCGAATCAACAACAAGATGGCGGTGCCCAAGGGGGCGAGGCCACGGCGCTGGCCGTCATAGCAACCACCCCGCCCAAAGCCCGCCCCGCCGCCTCTTGAACCAATCCTGAACGCAGCCCCACCCGCAGGGGTCGCTCCGTGCACGCTGATAGGTTGAGTTCGCCGTCACTCAAGAGCGGAGTCGCCCCGCCCCTTTCCGTGCTCTGACGGCCTCCTGATGGCCTCTCACGTTAGGCACACGTGACTTTCCCCAGGGCCCCGCCTCCCCTGGGGCTGCTCCGTTCTATTGGCTAGCCGCGGCGGGGGGGCGGGATCGGCCAATGAGCGCTGGCAGTCCTGCGAGGCGCGGCCTGCTGGGGGCGCGCTGCCCAGGGCGGGTCTCGGGGTATGCCCGTGCCTTCCCCCGGGCCTCGGGCAGTGCTGCGGACCCGCTCGGTGCGGAGCGTCCTGAGGGGTTCAGCCGGGCTACACCCCGCCTCTCCCTCTGCGGCCTGTCCCCAAACGGCTCCCCCGCTGGGCAGCGCCCGGAGCTTGTTCACCGCTCCGGCACATTAAAGGGCTTAACTCCGGAACGGTCACGGTTCCCGTGGGCTCAGGGTGCGGGAGCCTCGGGCAGTCTCACACGGCGACCCCTCCTCGCTATGAAGTGTCACGGCTGGCTGCTGCTCCCTCTCCCTCCCTTCCGTCACCCGCTCCCAGATTACTCTCTCCCCGCTTTCCCGCCAGCGCTCATTTCGCGGGAGCTGCGGCGGAGGCATCCCGCGGCGCGCTCCTTCGAAATTCAAAGAGCTGGTTTCCCACCTTCCCGCGCTGCCAGACCGCAGAGCGTTCAAAGCGCGGTTCGCCGAGCCCTGCTAACTCCTTCAGCGTGTCACGCCTACCCGCCTGTGCGCTAATTCACTTTTCCTCCCCGTTAAGAAAGCCAGCGGCTCCACCTCCGACCAGCTGCTCCTGGGAGCGCTGAACAAGGGGGAGCCTGAGGGAGATACGGGACACAGGGCAAAAGTTTCTCAGAATCAGTCGGGTTTCAATTTTCTTGCCCCAGATCACGTCTCTGTGGAGGACTGCCCCAGCTGGACCACATCCAGAGCCTACAGAGGCGCTGCCGCGACCGGAGCAGACCCTGCCAAAGTCCTTGACACATGTATCTCAGTGCAAAGCCCAGCCTGAGGCCGGTGCTGCCCTAACTGCCATCCGCGTCCTGACTGGAGTCGGCAGGACAGCCGCCGGCTTAACTGCAGTGCCACAGCACTCCCGACGGCAATCACAGCAGCGGGTGCAGTCTCTTGACACTGTTTATTAGGCCTGCGCTGACTCTGAGGCTGCATAGAGGAGGGATCCCGTCCTCCTCCCACAGCCACACCAGTGCTCTGGCTGCCATGGCCCTCGGGGAGCTGTGTACCGCAGGGAGCCCCTCACCAAGCCAAGCCTCTCAGATCCAGCGCCGTGCCCCAGTCTTGCTGTTGAAGAGATAGTCCCTGCCGGTGCCTGGGTTGGGAGGCAGCATTCAGCCGTTGCCCCATGAGTGCTGCCCACGCATCACTGCTCATCCCCCCCAAACCCCTCTGCCCTGGGACATGCAGCCCAAGAATGCCAGGGCCATGGGACAGGGCACTCACGAGGGTCCTGGGCACGGCCGTCAAACTGCTCCTGTGGAGTAGAGATGGGAGAGAATGTTGAAGGGCCCCAGGGCTCCCTCCTGCACCCCCAGAGTGGCACGTGCCCTTACCACCATGGCACACACTTACCAGGCTGCTGGCATGCGAGCTGCCCTGCTCCCCCTCATCCCCCTTCTTCTCCACCACATCCCAGGGGCTGCAGAGGATAGAAAGAGGAAGGCAAGAGCATGCTGCTGGTGATGGGCCCCTGGCCTTGACCCTGAAGGGTGCTGCTGGAAGTAGTTTGCCAGCCAGGCTTTGCACTGCCAGCTGTGCCCCATCAGCCCATCATCCACCTACCTGATGGTCCCCTTACCCAGCCCATGTGTCCCCTGGGCACTGAAGGGAACTGCAGCACGGGCTGCGCTCCCAAAAGCACCACCACCTTTGCATGATGCTAAACAGCAGCAAGCGTGTCCACTACCACATCAGCTTGTTTCCCCATGTGCTGGCATGCGCGGATCTTGTGCTTGGAGGATGCTGTGCTGGGGGAGCTGCAGCCCTGGAGCCCCCCAAGCTGCCAGGGCTACCCACAGGGCTGAGCCCAAGTGCTCTCCTGCATGGCCACTACATCTCCAGTGCCACCCAGCACTAGAGCCCCAAACTGACTAGTGAACACGGACCCAGCCATGCATCATCCTGAGGCGGTTTTGCCATAGAGGCGGCTGTTCTCCTCCTCCTCACTGTGCAGGCGCCTCACACAGGCTGGGCTGGCTCCAGTCCTCCTTGGGCTCTCCCCTCCATCCCCTCCTCATTCATTCTCCCAGGGGCTGCAGAGTGCACACCTCTTCCCAGGAGTTTTCCTTGTCAAACCGGGGCTCCCCTCATGAGCTTCAGTGGCCCCAGCTTGGCGGTGGCACCCAGCACTGTGTCATCCCACCCTGCCCACTGCAGTTTGTGCCCCAGTCTAGCCACCACCATGGCTGTCCCATGGCCAAGGTGCATTCACAGCTCTCATCAGTGCTGCACCCTCGCTCTGGGGTGCACCCCAGCACAGCAACCCATGGCCCATAGCCAAATGCAGTGCACATTAAACACCCTCCATGTGCTGTGTCTGCTCAGCTGCCTGCGGGGACACTGGGAGCCTGTGCCAACATGAATGGCTGCCCCTCGCTGGTACAACTGCCTTGGCCATGCAACACCTACCTCTTGCCCAGGAGCAGCTTGCCAGGGCCTCGGTTGCTGTGGGAGGAGCAGAAGGCAGCTGTGAGCCCCTGGTCTTGCTCTCTGTGCCGTGCCGTGCCATACCATACCATGGGACTGGGACTCACCTGCACAGCAGGCTCCGGGCCATGCAGCCCAGGGCAGCCAGCAGCAGGGCACCAGAGACAGTCAGCACAGCCACGAACCAGGCTGGTGGGTGCCACACTGCTTCCATCTGTGTGACAACCAGATGCTCCTTCAGCGGTGTCTGTGGATGTGGTGGTGAGAGGGGACTCACGCAGGCCAGGGGGGCTCAGGAACCTGGGAGCACCGCCTGCACTGGGCTCTGCTCACCGTGCGCTCAGTCGTGGTGCTGGGTGGCACCGGTGTGCTCCGGGGGGTGATGTGCACCACCAGTGCCACCACAGTGCTGCGGCGGGAGGTGCCGGAGCCACCCCACACCTCCACCAGCAGCACAAAGGTGCGGGGCTCAGGTAGGTTATTGGGGAGGTACAGGACCGTGTTCCCCTCCAGCTGGAAGCACCCATCCTCGTTGCCTGGACAAGAGTGTCTGCTCAGTGCCACCCTGCAGTGAGGGGCTGGGTTGTGCTGTGGCTTGGCCGCCCCTCACCTCCAGCAATGATGTATGCCAGCGTGGTACCATCACGGCTGCCCTGGCATGCTAGGCGGGTGACAGGCTGGCGGCTACCTGACCTGGCTGTGATCCACAGCTCCTGCACCTCGGGGGTGCACACCGGCACCTGGTCCAGCACAGCCTGCTGGGAGCAGGGGAGGCGGGTTGGCACCACAGGGCTGGCTCCCACCACAGCTCACCAGATGGGCTTTCACTCGCACCTGCACGTGTACGGTCACGGCGCACAGGCAGCTCCGCCGCTTTGCCGGGTCCAGGTCATTGCGGGTGTCCGTCAGCCGCACCGTCAGCCGGTAGCTCTTGTGCTGCCGGGAGTCGAGGGGTCCAACCACACGGATCTCACCTGCAGGGCAGCAGGAGCTGCTGGGTGCCACGGGGTGCAGCAGGCTTGGGGGAAAGGGGACCGGTGCTCACCAGTGTGTGCATCGATGGAGAAGGGCTGCTCAGGAGCAGGGCCCCCCTCCAGGCTGTACTCGAGGCTGTCTGGTGGGTAGTCACGGTCAGTGCCAGCGATGAGCCCCACAGCACTGCCGAAAGCTGCTGTCTCTGGCACGGTGAAGGTGGTAGCATTGGGGCACACCGGGGTGAATTCATTGACGGGTGTCACAGTCACGAGCATGGGCACACGGGCTGTGGGGCACACGGTGTCTCAGTCCCACCAGTACCACCCCACAGTCCACATTGGGCTGGCTGGGCTCTGCCCTGGGAGAGCTCCATCCGGGGCAGGCTCAGGCACATGGGGACAGTGGCATCGCCCTGGGCAGCAGGGAGGACTGCTTCCTCTGCGATCTGTGGGGTTTAGGGCCAGGAAGAAGCTTTTCCCTCCTTCCCCATGAGCCTTCCAGGGATACAGGCACTCACTGCTCCGTGGGGGCTGCCCTCCTGCTGTCACCACGATGGTGGCTGTGAACTGAAAGCCCACATTGGCCACAGCCTTGGAGTCATAGTCTGGGGTGGTGCTGACCTGCCGAGCCAGGGCAAGGGGTGTCAGGCAGAGCTCAAGTGCCCTGCAAAGCTGGGGTATGCCACAAAGCATAGGGAGCAAGGGGGGGAACCATAGAATGATTTATGTTGGAAAGGACCTTAAAGCTCATCCAGTCCCAACCCCTGCCACGGGCAGGGACACCTTGCACTGGAGCAGCTTGCTCCAAGCCCCTGTGTCCAACCTGGCCTTGAGCACTGCCAGGGATGGGGCAGTTACAGCTTTGCTGTGAAACCAGGCCTTGGGGAGCAGGGAGCCCAGAACACCCTGGCCCCACACCCGGTGTGACAGCACATCCTGTCAGAGGGTCCCCACTGTCCCACTGGGCTCCCCACGTCTGGGCTTGCTGGGCACTGGGTGCTGCCCATGGCCCTGCTCACCTGCAGCTGTGGCCCCTCCATGCGGAAGTGGGATTGGGAAGCAGGGGGCCCCTCAAGGGCATAATGCAGGCACCCCTCAGCACCTTCACAGCCAGTGCACCTCAGTGTCACCAGCGTGCTGCCAGGGAGCTCTGTCTCTGGCACCTGGGACCTGCAGTGGGGCAGCCAGCAGCTCAGCTCTGGCCCCGTGTTGTGGGTATGGCAGAGCATCCCCTTTGCCCACTCTCATCCCAAACCGTACACGAAGATGGCTGGGACACAGCTCGGCACCCGCTGCTCCGTGCCCTGCACAGTGATGTTGAGCATGGTGGTAGCATGGTCGGCAGGGTGCAGTGCATTGTAAGCCTGGACCAGGAGCTGCTCCTGGGCCACCTCCAGCCGCTGGGTGCTGTGGATCTTGCCTGTCACTGCGGGACAAAGCATGGCCTTGCACCAGGCCCAGGGATGGGGGAAAGGGTGGCCCTGAGGACTGCCACCACTCCACTCACTCTCATCGATGGTGAAGAAGGTGGGTGCCAAGGGTGCAAGGATGGCATAGCGGACGTTGTCACCGCTGGCACGGACCTGTGTGACCACCTCCAAGGGGCCAATGACCCCTGGCACTGTCACATCCTGCTGCGGCTCACTGGAGGCAAGGTGGGCAGCATGGCATGGCCTGATGCCACCAGCACCCACCACCCGGCCCAGCCCTACTCACAGGAAAGAGACACAAGGACGGCACGATGGCAGAACCTCCACCCTCACAGCTCCACTGCAGTTGTGCCCTTTGCGGTCCATCACCTCGATCTCCAGCCTGAATGTCTGTGGGGTAGTGCCAGGGTGGCCGTGGGACAGCCCCAAGTGGCACCAGGGATGGAGATTGAGACAGGGATAGGAATGGGGATAAGGATAGTAATGAGGACAGGAACAGGGACAGAAATGGGAAAAGGGAAGGGGACAGACACAAGAATGGGGGCTTGGAGTGGGAACAGGGATGGAGATGAGGATGAACTGGAGACTTGCATGGCGACAGGAACAGGGAGGTGGAGGAGGACTGGGACAGGAGTCAAAATGTGGAAGGGGCAAGAGCCAGAGATCTGGTTGGAGCACTCCTGGGGTCAGAAGGAGACAGGAGCCCGATAGGAGGAGCAGGATGCAGAGAGCTGAGAGCTACAGAAAGTGCCAGCGAGGGGCTAAGCCTCTGTGGGCTGGGAGGTGGCTGTGACAGCCTGGGGGTATTGGTGCCCACCTGGGTGCCCTTGCTGTGGTCAAAGCCACCGGGAGGTGCCAGCACCAGGCCCTGGTGGGTGAGCACGAGTGGTGTGTTGTGGTTTCGGAGCCTGAACTGCAAAGAGATGGGTGTTGGGAGCCCCTGCCCCTCCCCTCCATGCCTGGGGTTTCGGCATCCCCAGGGCTGCTCCCGCCTGTGGCAGGTTGCGGCCCCCAGGGCAGACCCCACTCACCGTCAGCCCTCCGAGTGGCTGCGGCATCACAGCATACAGGGGTGTCCGAGGCGCCACATCTGCCAGCACCCGCACCACATCTCCCTCTGCAGCACAGCATGGCCATGGGAGCACAGCGCCGGCCAGCACCAGTGCCCCCCGCCACCCCGTACCCCTGGCTCCTACCTGCACTGGTGAACGGGGCATCACAACGCAGCCCCTGCCCCTCTTTCACCCACACAAAGAGCTGCTTTTCCACCCTGTCCTCACCAGGACAAGTGGCCTGCAGGGTCAGGGTGTACAGGGTCACCCAGTGGGCATTGAGCTCCTCACCAGCACGCAGCATCACCTGCCGTGGAGACAGTGTTCAGCAGGGTGCCCAGGGCTGCCTGTCCCACTCCCTGCCCCTCAGCAACGCCTCTACCTGAAACGTGGTGTTGGCCATGGGGTCAGTGCTGCTGGTAATGAGGCTGAAGGGGTGGCTGGGCTCAGTGCCGTGCAGGGTTACGTTGGGGCTGTCACTTGTGTTACTACAGGACACGGTCCCCTCAGCCACACTAGTGCCTGGCACTGCATCCTCACCCAGGGTCACCACGCAGGGCAGGTCAAGCAAGGCTGGCAGGAGACCCCAGACGCCAGCCTCACACCAACAGCTCGCCCAGCCGTGCTTAGGGAGCTCTGCACTTGCACCCAGGCACCCATGCGGGCATGGGTCTCCTGGGCAGCGCCCAAAGCACCCCACTCTTACCTGCTGCTCTGACGAAAGTCCCTGCAAAGAGGAGATTGTCACCCCAGCCTGCCTGGTGTGTCCCAGGGCACCCCAAAGATGCCCCAGAGGTGCCTGGATATGCCCCAGTGTTGTCCCCAGGATGCCCCAGTAATGCCCTGGTGATGACCCAAGGACGCCCTCACCCTGCCGGAACCTGGCCACGGAGCTGCCGGCTCCTCTGCTCACCCTGGGGTTAGCCCCCATGGGGACAACCGAGGGGAGCCTGTCTCCTGTCCCTCCCCGTTTGATCCCACACCCACAGTCTGGCAAAGGGTGCCCCTGATGCTGCGAACCAGAAGTGCCTACCTGGGGCACAGAGGCTGAGGAGGAGGAGGAGGCAGGTGAGGCGTCCGTGCATGCCCATGGCTTGCTGGCTGTTTAGGACAAGCTGCAGCCCGTTGCCAGGGGTGCTGGGCACCACCCGGCCCAGCGTCACCGCGGCCACCCGCGAACACCAGCCCGGCCCCGGGGCAGGGACAGGGCACGGCCCCGGTGCCCCGAGCTCCCCCACTGCCTTTCGCCATCCCCGGCCGGTGCTGGCTAGGAGGGCAGCGATGCTCCGTGGGGTTTCGCTGCCGTATCACGCTGCCTCGCCACGCAGCCAGCTTCGGACCCGAGAAAATTAGCTGGGAGGTAATTTTTGGCCGTGTTCTCCTTCATTTGCAAACCAGAGCCGCTTCTCCCGGAATTCCTATTAAGCGCTATTAGTTCCAAATTAATAGGCTCTGGCGGAGCGCGGCCCCTGCGGCCGGGGTCACCTTTCCCTCCTCGGGTACCCAAATCCATCTCGGTAGCCCGGGAGCCTCAGCCGGGCCCCTGTAACGGGGCTGCCCTCCTTCCCGCCGAGGCTCCCGGGTCCCCTGGCGCTGGGGTGCTGCTCGACCGGTGCCCCCAGTCCTGCCTCGCCCGGCGGTGCCCGGGTGGTGCCCGGCGCGGGGCCCCGGGGCTGCGGGGCGGGGCGGGGCCCCGGGGCGGTGGTGCCGGTGCCGGTACGGGCCGGGCTCACGTTACGGCAGCCTCATTGGCTGCGGCGGGGCGGGGCAGAACCGCCCAGGCAGCGCCGGGAGGCGGCGGGGACGGGCGCGCTCCGCTGCTGCTGCTCCGCCGCCGGCACCGGCGGGACCGGGACCGGGAGCGGGGCTGGGCTGGGCTGGGCCGGGCTGGGCATGCACAGCGCCCGCCAGGACGCCTGCCCGGGACAGCTCGGCGCCGAGCGGGTGAGTGCTGGCGCGGGCAGCGGGAGGGGACGGGGCAGCCCCGCCGGGGCATCTCCGTGATGTCAGGGCATAGCCGCTGACATCAGTGCAGTGACATCACGGCGAGGCCCGGGCGGCGCGGGGGCCGCGGGTGGCCGCGGGGTCGCGGGTGGCCGTGGGACGCGGTGTCCCGCCGTCAGGGTGCTAGCGGCACGGTCCCCCCTGCGCGGCCACTGCCGCCCAGCTGGGCTGCCCTGCCCTGCGGGACAGGCGGTGACAGGGTGGCCCAGCCGGCTCCCCTGGGCCGGCCGCACGCCTGCCCGGCTCCCCATCGGCCGGTGCGACGGCGTCCCCGGCCAGCGCCGGGACAGGGCAGCCCGAAGCGGTGGCACGTCGCCAGTGGGGCTGGCTGGGAGGGTTCCAGTCAGTGGGGAGGGGGACAGGAACTGAGACAGGGACGGGGACAGGGACAGCCCGGCCAGCAGCTCCGTTGGTGTCGGCTATGGGGGACGGGTTTACTGCGACCGGGGAGCGATCCCTCCTGCTTGCTCGGCTTCCCGTGGCTCCAGAGCAGAAAGGAAAGCGGACGTAACACCCTGCTTTGGGGTTCAGACAATAGGAATTCAAGAGAGAGGAGCGGCCCAGCTGCAGGAGCCAGCCGCCCCTTCCAGCGCCCGTCAGGCCGTGCCCCGCTCAGCCCCGGCTCTCCGGCCCCCCATGCTCCCCGCCGCTGTTGAGGGTCCCTGGCCCTGGGTGCAGGCCTGGCTGCACCCTGACGTCAGCCGGGTGTCCCCGGCTAGAGGGCACAGGGTGGGTGGGGTGGCCCTGCCAACGCGTGGGGGGAGCGCCGCACCCCAGCATCCATGGGTGCCCCGAGGCTGCAGCCTGCCCTGTGCCACCGAGCAGGGTCCTGCCCATGGGGTGTCCCCGCAGCCACCCCACCGCGGTGGGGGGGGATTGAGGGGCCAAATGGGGGGCAGTGGGGCGCCCGGCTCCTACGTGCCGTGGCCCTGTGTCATTTTCCGCAGGCACGGCCGGGGCTGGGTGCCTGCTTGCTCACCTGACATGCTGCTGCACGCCGCCCGGCTCCACGCAGGAGCAGCAGGAAAGCGGGGCCCGGGGCTGCAGGCAAGCTGGAACCTGCGTCCTGCTCCCCGCTGCACGCCCGGCTCTGCCAGCAAAGCCCACCTGATTCGGGGCTGGGGGCACAGGGGGCACAGGATGGGGGTCATAGTGCTGGCCGGGGGGAGTGGGGACAAACGCACTGACCTGCCCTTTTCCCACCAGGGGTGCCAGCGGGAGGCCAGGGCAGCACCACGGGCGCACATGCACAGCACACGGCCAGCACCGCATCACGTCGTTGGGGCCCCCCGTGCCCCATGCCCCCCGCGCCCCGGCTCGGCGGCCGACTCAGCCTGCAGCCTGGAGCCAGGGGGTGAGGAGGAGGCGGGGGGGGGCCCGGCCACCCGCTCCCCCCCAGCCAGCGAGCGCAGCCTGGAGTTCGACTCGGGGTACTCGGAGGCGTCGGGAGGCACGTGGCGGGAGGAAGAGGCTCCGGTGCGGCGGCGGCACCCACTGCCCTGCCAGCGCGCACACCGGCTCTCGGCTGGCCCCGCCGCCCCCCCGCCTGCCCCCGCCCGCCGCATCCGCCCCAAATCCACCTCGGACGCCTGCCTCGAGCAGTGGCGGGCACTGGAGCCAACCGACACGCAGGACTGGACCGTGGCGCTGCTGTCGCAGAGCCGGAACCGACAGCCCCTAGTGCTGGGTGACAACTGCTTTGCTGACCTGGTAGAGAACTGGATGGACCTGCCCGAGGTGGGCACTGAACCTCGGCGCCGAGGCAGCGCTGAGCCCTCCCGCCGGCTGGCCAAGCCTCCTGCCTTCCTGCTCAGCCTCTCGGGCAACGTGCGCCGTAAGCTGGCCAACATGGCCCGGCCTTGTGGAGCCGAGGGTGCCCGCTCAGGGGGCCGTGATGCCACCAAGCGTTTCTCCTGCCCGCTGGGGCTGGGCGGGCAGCCCAAGGGTGCCTGCTTCCACCAGTCCCACAGCAACATCGCCCAGGTGGCCACGGACTTCCACCGCTTCACTGCCCTCATGAACAGCCGCAGCCGCCAGCCCATCATCTGCAACGACGTTATTGGCTACATTTAGCCCTGCCCGCGCCCTCCTCCGCTGTAAATAAACCCTGGTTTTGTACGGTATGGGCACAGCGATGTTGATCGAGGGGGGCTGCCTGCACCCCACCTCTGGGGTATGTATGGGGCTTTGTGACAAGGGCCAACGCATCCTGCAGCTTTTATTGCATGGGGCGGGGGATGCCAGCCCCTCACTCAGGGTAGGAAGCACATGAGAGGGGGACGGGTAGCTTCAGTCTCAGCATCCTCTTCCTCGCACACATACTCCAGCTTCAGCACACGCTGCTGTGGCTCCCCGGCATTCTCCAGGGTTGCTGATAACCTGTAGCAGGGAAAGGGGGTCTTGGGATTCGCTTTTGTCCCCCCTAGGCTGCCTTGGTGCCCCAGGGGAGCCCTAGGACCCTCTGGGGCGCCTGGCCAGGCTGGGGGGATGTAGGGGCCGGCAGCGAGGGGCCGGGCAGGGGTCTCGCCATGGGAAGTGCTGCCGGCAGGATGTTTATCCAGCAGCTGGCTGGGAGCTGCGCTGCAGCTGGAGCAGCTCAGGATGGAGGAAGATGTGTCCGGCAGCACCCCCAGGGCAGGACTGGGCCTAGAGCTGTGGACCTACCTCTGTTTCTGCATCAGGGCTCGTACTCCTTCGTTCTCCCCACTGTCATAGAGCACAGTGAAACCGTGCAGGAGCATGGTCACGGTCCAGCCATGTGTCCTCTGCAAGAGGTGGGTGTCAGAATCCGGCCAGGGTGATCCAGCTGGGTGCTGGGTCCCATGCAGGGCTCACCTGCATCCAGTCTAGTATGTTCTGGACTGTCATCTCCTCCCCGTCTGCGCTGACTGCCCGCATCTCCAGCCGGTCCCAGCAGCTCCACTCCCGCCCACGGTACTGCAAGTGGGACTGCAGGGTAGCAGGATGCCCACTGGCACCCCACATCCCCACTGCCCAGCCCCATAAAGCAGGGATTGATGGGGCATGAGGGCTGGGGTACAGCAAGAGACCGGTCTGAGGCAGGGGGACAGGGACACATGGTAGTCCAGAGGCAATGGGGACACAACTGTCTTCCCAGCCCTGCTGAGATCCAGGGGTATGGAGGGGCACAGTCCTCCTCCTACCACTGTTGGGCCTGGGGGGCAACAGCAGCATGGCTATCACCCCCCCCCCCCCATACCCGCAGCACAACCAGGGTCCAGGGACCCCACCACCACTGCAAGGGCCAGGATTGGTGTGGGGCTGTCCCTGTCCCCAACTGTGGGCCAGGAAAGACGCACAAAGGGCCATTGAAGTGCTGCCCAGCCCCACACAATTGCCTCTTCTCACGCCTTCATCCCCCCCCCCACCTCCCCTGCACAGAGCCCAGCTCCTGCCCAAGGGGGCCAGCGAGGCCCCAGCCCTGGGGCCGAGTGCCGGATGCAGCCCCATGTGTCTGGCACGGCTGCGCTGCCATCTGCCCTAGCTGCGGGCAGCACCAGATCCGGCCTGGCCCTGGCCACAGCCCTGCTCGAGAAGGGGTGCTCACACCTGGCTGCTCCCCTCCTGCCTCCTGCTGCCTTCTCACCTTCTGCTGCCTTCTCACCTTCTGCTGCCTGCACTTATCCCACCAGGGTGGAAAGGCTTTAACTCCATCCTCACCAGGGCGGAAAGGGCTTAACCCCATCCTCACCAGGGCAGCGACTGCCCAGCACAGAGGAAAAGCCACTGTGCATCCCAGCACCCCAGAAAGCGCATCCATCCGAGGCTGTCGCTCAGGTGGGCTCCCCAGGCCGTGCAGGACCGCAGGTCATGCCACACAGGCCTAGGAGACAAGTGCTCCCACCGTGGCTAAGCAGCCGGACACAAAACATCCTGCCAACGAGGGTCACAGAGGTGCCGGCTGCTCTCCAGGGCATGGCCAGCACCAGCAGCATCCTCCACGCAGGGATGGTGCCAACCCCGGGGCACGGCCCCCACGCTGCAGCAGGCTGGGCAGGCAGTGGAGTGTGAGGGGGCTATGGGGCAGCCCGAAGCAGTGCTGGAGCTGGCTAAGGCAGTGGATGTGCCTCCCTCCCCCTCTTCCTGCCCCCGGCCCTGGGCCCCCCGGGCCAATCTGGTTCCAATCGGCGCTTCCTGCCATGCCGGAAGGGCTGCCTCGCACGCCATAAACCCCCAGACAAAGGGGCCTCTATTGCCCAGACGGTCCCAATCTGGCCCTGCCCCGGCCCCCACGCTCCCCCTGGCAGAGCGGCTGCGGCCTGGCCCCCCGCCATCAGGACCCCCGGCCCCGCTCCCCCCGGACAGCCCTTCCCGGCCCGGTGCCAGCTGTGCTCTGGCTGCTGCAGCTGGTTTCCATAAGCCAGATGTGTGCAGCTGCTGTGGCCCCCTGGCTGTGGGGCTCATCATGGGGCCCATTGTGGGGCAGTGGGGCTGCCTCAGCCCCATGGACACCCCAGAGTGTCCCAGTTGGGCCCACAGCCGAGGCAAGTGGGACAGTGGGAGCCACTTGGTCCCGGGGGGCAGACACAGGAAGGAGCTGGTTCCTCGCTGCCTGGCAATGCGCCTGGTCCGTTGCAGTACCTGGATCCATTTCTGGAGCCCCATGGCCAGGGCTGTCCCCTCCTGCATGGCCTTGCTCCTAGGTCCCCTCGGCATGGCCCCGCATCAGCTGCCACTGAGAACTGGGGCACCCCAAGACCCCTGGGTGTTCCCCCCGCCCCATCCTGCCCTGGGGAAGAAAGCCCTACCCAGTAGACGGAAGATGGGGGGGGCTGGAAGCGGAGCAGCAGGCAGTCAGACAGGGAGAAGTTGCTGTTGCGGTAGCAACTGAGGTCCCGGCACCCCCACGCCAGCTTGTAGACCTCCAGGCACGCCAGCCCAGCCACGGCCGCTGTGCTGGTGATGATGGCAGGCACGATCCGCCCTGTGATCCGCTTGCTCTGAGGACAGGAGGGGTGTCACTGGCTGCCCTGCACAGGATGGGGACCCCTGCACAGGCAGGGACCCCCATGGCTTACCCATCTTACCATCAGCCGGCTGGCGGCAGGGATGCTGTAGCTCTCTGCACGCAGGTTGGATGCTGCTGTGATAAAGTCTATGTGGATGTCATTGTCCTGTGGGGAAGAGAATGGGGAGATCAGCATCCCCCAGGGACATCAACCCCCAGGCTGAGCAGGGCTGCCTGCATAGCCCTGGGTACCTTCTCAAAGTGGATGGGCTCCATCAGGGGCACTTGTGCTTCTCCACCCCCTATCAGCTCCTGTCTCTGCTGCCCCAGGTCCTGGGTGAGCTCTTCCAGTCTCTCATCATCTGGGGGCACAGGGACCCCGGGGGTGGTACCCTGGCACAGTGGGGGGCTTGGCAGGATGCCCCCGTCTCGGTCTGAGTGCTGGGGCTGGGATGAGCAGCGCTGCAGCCCCACTACCACCAGGCCGGACCCGGGAGCCTGGGGACATGTCCTGGGGGCCCAGGGAGCCTCACCTGCTAGCACCTCCTCCTGCTCTTCTGAGAGGTGGATCTGGAATCCCTCCTGGGGCACGAAGGGCGGCAGGACCACACTGCACAGCACAGCCTGGGCGGATGCACGCTCGCTGCATGGTGGTATCTTGTGTGACTGAGCAAAGAGGTGGGCAGCAGCCATGATGTAGTCCAGGTGGGTGTCCTGTGGGGCAGAGTGTTGGCCATGGAGTGCCTTGGGGTGGTTCACGAGCCCACACAGCCAAAGACTGCCTGCACTGACACTGTTGAGCAGAGCGGCCTGGCTTTGTCCTGAGGTAGACATGGAGGTGCCTCTCCTCCTCCAGCCACAGGGCACACATGGGCTGTTCCCATAAATGCCTTCGCTGACCAGGAGACAAGGACAGACCCAGCCCAGTGCCTGGCAGCCCCAGGTGGGCTGGCAAGGGGGGCACAGCTACAGTCAGGCATGCACTGTACCCCCCACGCAGGCTCAACTGTGCCCCTGCTGTCCCCAGCAGGGACCCCACAGCTCCCCCTTGCACTCACATTCTCGGGGTTGAATATCAGTGGATGGGGACAGGTCCTGTCCCATGCCCAGAAGGGGACACCTGGCCTGACTTCCTGGCACAGGGAAGGCAAAGTCAGGCCCTGGGATGCTGCAGTGGGGCGGGCAGCGCAGGGCAGGTGATGCTGGGGGTGCCAGCCCCATGGGCACTGTGCTCACATGCTCCGGGGGGAAGGTGTGCAGCAGCTGGGCGATGGCATCATGGTAGCAGCTCTGCCAGTGCCGGCGGGCCCAGCGCACGCAGTCCTGCCAGTCCCGTGGCCGCTCCTGAAGGCTCCTCCGCACTTGCTCCAGGACCTCCACGGCCTTCCCTGTCGGCAGCTGCTCTGGGAAAGCCGGATCCCTGCAAAACCAGCACCACTGCTGCGGGCCTGGGAGCACCCAGGTGGGACATGGTGGTCTGTCCCCTTCTGCCCAGCCCCTCCCCTGGCACCACTGCTGCGGGGCTGGGAGCACCCAGGTGGGACATGGTGGTCTGTCCCCTTCTCCCCAGCCCCTCCCCTGGCACCGCTCCCCCAGGCCCACTCACTCCATGAAGCGGTTGACATGCTCCGCAGGCAGCTGGAAAAGCCCCTCAAACTCATCACGGGCCCACTGTGGAGGGGCAGCAGGTGTTGAGTACTGGGACCCCTCAATCACATCCCCTCCAGCCCAAGCCCAGGGGGAGGCAGAGGCCATGCTGGGGCTGGGGCCAGCGGTAGAGCTTGTGCTGCCAGCAGGAAGCAGCTGGGGCCGTATCCTGCGCATGGCCCACTGCCGGGAAACGGGAAAGGAAGACAAAGGTCCCAGTGCCTCTCACTGGGTGCTGGTGCCGGTGTGGCACAGCCTACCTGCAGTGTGTGCTGGATGGTGTGAGGGAAGTACCGGAGCGTGCAGATGGGGAAGGTGTCATCCTCAGGGGCAGCAGCCGGCCCCAGGAGCTTGGTCAGGTGGGGCACCATGGCCAGTACGTTCCCCCGTGGTCCCTCCGTACCCGAGTCCAGCAGTGGTGTGAGGTAGCGGAAGCAGCAGCTCTCCAAGTAGGCACCTGCAGGGAGCCAGGGGTGCTGGGGAGCTGGAGGGCATGTCCAGGGGCTTGGCCCCTTTACCCCTCCCAGCACTCACGTGCCTCCAGCGTGTCCAGGGCACTGGCAACACCGTCCAGGTGCCGGAAGAAGTCATCCCCATAGAGCATCTCGGTGGCAGGTCCCACCTGATTCTGATGAGCTGTCACTCGGACATCGGGGTTCATGCGCCGCACAGCCGCTGCAGCCACCACCGACTTCGGCTTCTGCCCAGGCAGAGAGAGGGTGGGCAGCTCTCCCCACCCCACAGCCCAGTGGGGCCAGCAGGGTGCCCTCTGGGGGGAGCTTGGCCACCGCGTCCAGGTGCCTCACCGATACATCTGCTGAACGGTAGAGGAGCTGCCGATGGAGGTTGGAGAGGGCGACGGTGTCCATGTCAGTGACAGTGAGGTCCCCCTCTGGCCCGGCCGCCAGCCCCATCATGGCAAAGTTTTTGAGCAGCTCACAGCCGACGGCGCCGGCTCCCACCTGCAGGGGCAGAGCCACTGCAGCTCCCCAGGCGCTGCTGCCCGCTCTGCAGCCTCTCCTGGTGCCCACCCCAGCTCACCACCAAGTACTTCTGGCGGCCCAGCAGCTCCTGGAACGCGGCCCCGAAGACGGCAATCTGCCCATCATAGCGAGAGCCCCTCTATTGGGATGGAGGAGCCTCGTGAGCACAGGAGGCCCCAACACCCTGGTACCCAAGTCACCTTCTGTGTGTGCTCTCACCGGGACACAGTCCTCCTCTGTCAGCTGTGTGACCCCCTCCAGCGCCAGGCACTCAAGGGCATCGAAGTACAACCACTGGTCCAGGGGCAGGAACTTCCCAGTGATGGCCTGGGGCAAACGGGGCGCTATTGGTCCAGCTCCATGACCAACAGGGTCCGCATATCCCAACCCAGCCTTGCTGCTCAGGCCAGTGTCTCCAGGCAGGCAGCAAGTGCCCTCTCGTGGTCCAAACGCTGCAGAGCACGACCAGCGGGACCGCAGGGCCCGGGAACCGCATCCCGCTCACCTTCAGGGCCTCCTGGGCTGCCGCGGCCCCGACAACAGCGGCCACAGGGCACAGATCCCCTGCACTGACGCTGGCAAAGGCTCGCACGATGTCCTCGTCCAGGGGACCAGGCTGCGTGGCCAGGCTCCACGCCAGCTCCAGCACCCGCTTGGCATCCTCCTGCGGGCAGAGGGGTGAGGGCAGTCCCAGGCAGGGTGGTGGGGGTCGGGAGGGTGGGCAGGGGCGGGACAGGGACTCACCGGTGCCCTTGGCCGGGGCAGGCGACCCTGCTCCTCACGGAAAGCGTGCAGGGCCTGGAAGGCAGCGTGGAGGCTGCGGCTGCGCGGCAGCTCCTCGGGATTTGCCGCTTGGATCTTGGGCTCTGCCAGTGCCTGGGACAGGGGCTTCTGCCAACACAGCACCAGGGCTGAGGTGAGCACGGCAGCCAGGCTGGGGCATGGCAGGATGTGGCAGCACCACGGGGCCAAGGGGGCACTTACATAGGAGTGCACCTGGGGCAGGCGCACCTGCGAAACCAGGCCCCCGCAGCAGTAGCACGAGAAGGACCTGGTGTCACCAATCTTCAGCCTGAAGGCATCTGGGGACGAGAAGGGGATGAATGTCACGGTCACCACCAAGGACCCAGGGAGTTTACCAAACCTGGGCCAGAGCAGCCAGGGTTGCCTGGTGGCTCACCCATCACTTGCACCGGGACAGGCTCCTGGCCGTTCAGCTCTGTCATCCCCTCCACACCAGAAAATGTCACCAGGTCCCCATCACTGAAGAGGTGGCCACGGCTGCCCTCCATCCCTGTGCATGTCACTATGCCCGGGTTGCCCTGAGGAGGGGAAGGGATGTGTGGTTGGGGTCCTGGAGGAGGCAGCAGTGTTTTGGGGGAGCCTGCAACAGCTGTTCTCCTACCTTGGAGATGTGCTTCACGGCAGCACATACCGGCTCCCCTTCTGCTGGGTCATTAACGATGAAGTGCTCCCCAAAGTCGCAGAACAGCTGCCTGGACAGGACAGATGGGGTTGTGCCAGAGGAGTCACCTCACCAAGGTGCCTGAGCACTGCCTGGACAGAGCAGTCATGCCAGTGGGAGGGGGAGATGGGCTGCAGAGCAGGGCTGGGGACTCTGGGGACAAGCTGACCCAGAGCCAGCAGCAGGACCCTGTACAGAGACCTCTTACCCCGCCAGCCCCTTAGCGTCAGCCACGATGAAGCAGATGCCTTGGGCATGGCAGAAGTTCCCAACGCGGATCTGCTCTTCCAGCGGGGACTCGGTCAGCACCACCACGCGTGCCTGCGCTGCGGATGGGCTCTGCTGGAAGGAGGTGAGGAAGGGCTCTGACAGCTCCCCGGTGTAAGCCACCACTGTCACGCACGGGTTCAGCTCGGCCAGGGCCCGCCGGGATGCCTCGGCTCGGTTCTGCCCGATGTCGCTCTCCCGCAGGAGGAACTGTGGGGTGGGCACATGGCGGGTTCGGGGGGATGCTCACCACAGCAGAATGCCCCACAGGAGCCTGCCCATGCTGCTGGGGCCCTCTGATGGGGACCACACCTGTGATACGGAACACCTCATGGGCCCTACCCATGACAATGAGAGGTTCATGGGCTGTGGCCATGACAGGGACCTCCCATCCTGTATTTCTTACCGGTACCCCACATGTCTGGTACTGGAAGCCCCCTCACACCATACCCATGCAACAGGGATCCCCCAGCTGCACCTACACCCATTACTGTGAAATCCCCCCACACCAGTACCTAGTATTGGGACCCTCACTGGTACCCAGACCCATTATGGGGACTCCCATCCATACCTGTACCCTCATCTGTACCCAGACCCATTATGGGGACTCCCATCCATACCTGTACCCTCGTCTGTACCCTCCCCATTACAAGGACCCCTGCCCATGCCTATTACGAGGATCCCCACGCACACCTGCCCCCGATACTGGCACCCCCCTGTACCAGCCCCTGTTACGGGGGCCCCCACCCGGCCCCGCGGTACCTGCTGGCCTCGGTCGGCTACGGAAGCCTCGCCGCGATCGTGCAGCACCACGCGCCCGGTCCCTGCCAGCACCAGCGCCGCTGCCACCTGCGCTCCTGTCCCGCGGAGCCCCGACACCAGCACCGCTGCCCCGGCCAACCGGCGTGCGCCGCCGCCCAGCACGTACCTGTGGGGCACGGGCCGTCAGCGCGACCCGGGGGGCACCCGCAGCCCCCGCCCCGAACCCGTCGCTCACAGCTGCCGCGAGTACAACCGCTCCTCGGCGCCGTCCGCCATAACGCCCCACCCGCCATAACGGTCCCACCCGCCCTGAGGGCCCCGCCCGCGGTGCTTCCCGGCAGCCATGTCGGCGGGCTGGCAGACGCCGTGGAGGGCGCTCAGTGCGCTGGGCCGGCTGCTGGCGGACGAGTGCCCAGAGCAGGACGTGCGGGCCAAGCTGTGCCAGCTGCTGCCTCTGTGGCTGGGGCTGGGGCTCAGCCTGATCGTTGTGGTCCTGGCCTGGCGTCTCTACGGCGAGGCGGTGGCCGCGCTCTGCTACAGGACGGACCCCTCCGCCCGCCGGCCCCCCGGAACTGCCCTCGGCCCCGGGCCCGCGGGGCCCAACGCTCACTCCTTCTCCCCCGCAGGCCGGGCCGGACGCAACGGCGCTGCCGAGCGGCACTGCCTGCCCTGGTGAGTCCCCAACGACACCGGGCCCCGACCGCTTTCACCCCCGCCGCCCAGCCCGGCACCGGCATCTCCGTGAGCCCCCCCTAGCCCTGCATGCCGCCGAGCGTCCGCCGGGTAGTGCCACAGTACCCAGCCAACGCCCCCCCCGGCCGCATCCCCACACCAGTGCTCCCAGTAAACGCTGCCCCAGCCAGCCCTGCCCATGCTGCCCCTCTCTTGCAGGGACGGTCTGGCAATGGAACGAGGGAAGACACACCGGGAATGAGGACTGCCAAGACGGCCGGGCGCTGCCTGCACCATTAAAGCGCTGTGCTTCACCTGCAACCCCTTGCTTTGGCACCTGCCGCCATCACCACAGAGGAGACAGGAGACTGGGGCAGGGACATTTATTGGGGCTGGGGCACTGTGCCCGCAGCAGGCGTTGGCCTCACTTGGCCATGTAGTACTGGGTGGGCACGAAGGGCATCTTGGTGACGAGGGCCGGGTGCTGCTTCTTCCTCACCTCGACGGTGAGTGTGGTGCCAGCCCGGCTGTGCACTGCCTCCACGTAACCCATGGCGATGTTCTTGCCCAGGGAGGGCGAGGGGCAGCCGCTGGTCACAGTGCCTGCGGACATGAGGACAGGGGGGTGAGCAGGGGCTGGCAGTCCCAGCAGCCTCCCTTGCCACAGCCACAGTTTGGGGTTATACCCACACAAGCCCCGCTGCCCCACCCACCCACGGGAGTGCCCTCGGGGTCCAGGATGGCCATGTGGGGCCGTATGGGGGGTCCCACCGACGTCAGCCCCACGCGCTTGCGTCTTGGCTTCTCTTTCACTTGTGCCATGATGATTCCTGCGCCAGGGAAGTCCATGGCCGCGCGCCGGCGCTTCCCTGTGGGGCAGAGACGGGTGAGGGTCCTTGATGTCTCCTGGGCCCCTTCTGCCCTGTCGGGGACCTGGGGACACCTCACCCCTCTGCTTGCCCCAAGGAGGAAGTGGACGTGGCCCCAGCCTACCCAAGGTCCACATCAGCCCAGCCTCAGCAGGGGTGGTGGTCTCGTCGATGTCGTTTCCATAGAGGCAGAGCCCGGCCTCCAGGCGCAGGCTGTCCCTGGCTGCCAGCCCTGCCGGCCACACCTCCGGGACACCCAGCAGCTGCTCAGCCAGTTCCACTGCCCGCCCTGCGGGCACTGAGATCTGCAGGGGACACGGTGGGGTCAGTGGGACATGGCCTTCCCCTCCCTCGGTGCCTGGGTGCAGGCGCAGCTCCCAGGGTACCTCCACGCCATCCTCGCCAGTGTAGCCGCAGCGCGTGACCCGGCAGCCTGGCACGCCAAAGACCGTTGTGGTGATGCTGTTCATGAAGGAGAGCTTGGCTAGGTCATCTGACAGCCCCGCCTGCAGCACCCGTGCCATGGAGGGACCTGGGGAGGCAGGTGTCTGGGAGATGGCAGTGTCCAGGGAAGGGTGGGATGGGAAGAGGGCACTGACATCCACTGGGCAAGGGCCCAGAGGAGGGCAGGCCCCTGTGGGCCCTGCTACCTTGCAGAGCCAGCAGAGCGTTGTCCAACACCTCCACATGGATGTCACCGCCGGTGGCCTGCAGCTCTGCAGCTCTGCCCTGCCAGGGTGACAGCGCACTGCTGCCATGGGGGCCAACCCCATGTGTGGCCATAGCCACCTCTGTGCATGCAGCCACAGATATCCCTCATTCCCACCACGCTTCCCCCCTCCCACGGGGTTCAGGCAGCCATGTACCCTCATGATGGCCAAGTCCTTGTCAGCACAGCCGGCATTGGACACCACGTAGAGGTGATCTTCCAGTGTGTTGGTGACGATGAGGTCATCCACGATGCCACCTCTCTCGTTGGTGAGCAGTGTTAGGGTGCCCTGTGGGACATGGCCCTCAGGAGTGTGGGCAGGCTGCTCATGTCCTCCTGTGTCCCTCTTGGACATGCCCAGGGCCTGTGGCCCTGCCAGACACCTTGGACCCCCGTACCTGTCCTGGCTTCAGCTCAGCGATGTCCCCCACCACCAGGCTCTCCATGAACCTGATGCGGTCCTGGCCGTACACACGAGTCTGGAATGGGCCGGGAGGGGTGTGAGGCCGTGTGGGTGCCCCCCGCGGTGCCCCCCCCCCCCCCAGGGTACCTGCAGCATGTGGGAGACATCGAAGAGGGAGCAGCGGCGGCGGGTGTGCAGGTGGGACTGGAGGTGGCCTTGCTCGTAGTGCAGCGGCAGGCTCCAGCCCGCGAACGGCACCATCCGCCCGCCTCGGGACCGGTGCAGCGCGTCCAGCGGCGTCCGCTTGAGGCTCTCCCCGGCCGCCGCCGCCTCTGCCCCCCCGGGGCGCTGCTCTCCGGCCCCGCGGCGAGGCGCGGAGCCCTGCGGGGGGCGGCGGGACAGCGCAGCGCGGCAGCCCGCCCGCAGCATCCTCCCTCCTTCCCTCCCCGGCACAACCCGCTACGGCCCCGGGGCGCCTGGGACATGGAGTCCGGCCGGCCCCCGACCCGCCCCCCGACCCGCCCCCCGGCGCCGGCCCGGGGCTGTGCTGGGCCACGGCCGCCCCCCTACAGACAGGCAGGCACTGGCAGGGCCAACGTAGCAGCTTTTAGTGGTGGTGGAAGCACCCCCCCCCGCATCTCCTCGGTGCCCCCTGGCCGCGGGAGCCTTTTGTCGCGCAGGCAGGGCCAGGGGCTGCTGCCTGGGGCAGACGCAGGGTGCGGGGACCGGCAGAGCCACGGGAGCTGGAGGGCACCGGCCTGGGAGAGGCTCTCGGGGGCCTCCGGGGCGGCAGTGCTGCTACCGCGGGCAGACAGCACAGGAGGAGCTGGGGAAGGGCACGGGGAGGGCCCAGAACCCCCCCACCCCCAGGGCCACAGGGACAAAGGCCGATGTGGGAGCACTGGAGTCCACTTGGGCACGCAGCAGGCAGCTCACTCCGGCCAGCACCGCCAGGGCTCACGTGTAGGAAAGCAGGTTGACATCGTAGCAGCCATCCACCTGGGAAAGAGAACAATGTCAGCCCTGCACTGCACCACCCCAAACCCCATCCTGGCAGGAGGCTCCCCCAGCAATGCGGCCAGGCCGAAGCTCTGCGAGCAGGGTGCTGGAACTCACGTCGAAGCGGCCGATGCGGGCAGCTGCCTGGCGAGTGCGGATCACCTCTGTCAGCACCCACATTTGCTGGACCTCTGCTGACACCTTCTCCGGGTCAGGTAGCTCCTGGAAAGAAACAGGCACAGTGCTGCAGAGTGGGAATGGGGCAGGTGGGCTTAGTGACTGCAAGCTTGAGCAGTGGTGTGGCTGCATGGCTGTGCTCCCCAGGAACCAGGCACTATCACAGTAGTGCCCATGCTCCCGACCTGCTGGTGGTTTCTCAATGCAGGGTAAGCAGGGCCCCACTCTAGGAAAATGGGCGGCTGAGGACATGGGTGACCCTGAGCCCTGGGTGCTATGGTGCCGACACAGCCCATCTCTGCTGGCAGGCACCCAGGATGACAGAAAGCACAGCACTGGCTTATGATTAAACACCTAATTGCACAGTCTGGAGTTTCCCAACTGCTTCCCTCTGCAGTGCTCTCTGGGTTTGGTGACAGAAAGCCGGCTGCAGGTTCTGGTTCACCCTGGGGGCCAAGTGGGACCCATGGGCTCAGCAGCAGCTCCCCAGGCTGGGATGAAGCTCTGCACTGCTTCTGCCCTGGCCAGCCCTGCCTGCAGTGTCAAGGTGCTGGTGGGTGCCTTGTGCCAATGCCCCTGGCATCTCCCTGGAACACCCCTTGAGAAGGGGGACGTGATCCAAGCAAGGGACTGGGGTGTCCTCCCTAGCAGACGTGGGCAGGGACTGGTGCTCCCAGCCCTGCCGAGGCTGGCAGAACCCTTGCCACTGATGCAACGCAGACTCCACAGCACCCAAGCTCAGCAGCAGAACCATAGCTGTGAGCTCCCTCTGCCCATGGGCTGCCTTGGCTGGGCAATGTATTCTGCAGCATGCACCATCCTGCTAGGGTCTGGAGCCAGTGGGGCAGGGATGGGGCTAGCAGCCCCACCAGGGATGCTAAGGTCCATGGCCAGCACCCCACACAGGTCCCTCTTCCCCCCAGTACCCCAGCAAGGTCACTCACCCCATGCAAGCTGGCTGGCTGCTCTGGAGGGGTCAGCTGGGAGAGCCAGGAGGGGAAATCCATCTGGGGGCTCTGAAACACATCCAGAGGGTCACATAAGGGTGTCCCCAGTACCACCTCCGTCTCTCACACCATGCAGCACGCTATGTGGTTCAAAGCCCCAGCATTGCTAGGGATGTAAGTGACACTTTACCACCATTAAAGGAAATGTTGTCTTGAGTTGTTGTTTGCCACCCCTGAGTTGCAGTAACCTCCAGCTCCAGCCCTGCTTGTCAAACATCTACCCCAGGAATAGGCAGGGCTGGGGCTGGCTGGAGCCATCCGTCCCTTTGGCCCCCAAGAGCCCCAGCAAAGGATAAGGACTTGGACCCGCATCCTTGTGTCCACAGGAGGGAGCCTGAAGCTCCAATAGCTGCAGGGAGCAACACTTGATAACGGTGGCCTGGCGTGGATTCGGGGAGGGCAGCTCCCACCCACTCACCTTCTGTCCAGGGGGGAAAACCTGCAGCTCCTCGATGGTGAACTGGAGCCAGACTGGGGAGGGCTGCCGCAGGATGAACCGTACTGCTGTCACCTGCTCCATGTCACACAGCATCTGCTGGGGCAAGGATGGGGACAGCAGTCACCAACAGGGGCTGGCCAGGCCACGCTGCACAGGGACAGCTTTTGGGATTGTAAGGGATCTTAAAGCTCATCCGGTTCCAGCCCGCTGCCATGGGCAGGGACACTTCCCACTAGACCAGGCTGCTCCAAGCCCCGGCCAACCTGCCCTTCAAGGCCACTTCACCCTAGACTTTCTCCAAAGAACCCCAACCCACCCTGAGCGGAAGGAGCCCGAGGGAGATGTCACCTCGTGGGGGCTGTCTGGGCTGAGCGGGGCAGGGGCACAGCCAGCACCGGGACCCTCGCTCTTGGGGGTGTACACGGAGGGACATCAGCACAGGGCACTGGGGACCGGGCAAGGAGGGGTGAGCCCCAGAGCATGGGCGGTGCCACCGTGCAGCCGTGCCGACCTGGTTGCGGTGGAGGGAGAAGTAGTCCTGGGCGCCCTGCTCCGTGTGCGGGCAGGGCATGAGGCACACGTCCCGCAGGCAGGTCACCCAGCGCCGGGAGCCGCCGGGCCCGGGCCGCTGCACCCGCACGCTCAGGAACGCCGTGTAAAAGTTCTTGAAGACGATCTCCTGTACCTGCGGCGGGACCGGCGGCTCAGACCCCGCCCCGAGCCTCCGAAACCGGCAGCGGCATCCCCCGCAGCAGCACCCCTCTTAGCGGAGCCGGTACCCCCCACACCAGCATCACCGCACTGGGACCGGCAACCCCCTTACCCATACCGGCACCGGCAACTCCACCCCACAGCAGCACAAGCCCTCCCTCCCCAGTACTGGAGCCTTCACTCCCCATACCGCAACCGGTAACACCCTCCCCCCCCCCCCCAAAAAGGCACCGCCCGTGCCCACCCATACCGGCACCAGCATCCCCCTCTCCCGCTACTGGAACGGGCACCGGCATCACTCCTCCCCGCGCACCGGGACCTGGCCACCGCTAGCATCCCGCCCAACACCGGTACGAGTGTTGTCCCTGGCAATACCGGGCACCGCCACCGGCACCGGCATCCCCTCCCCGCACCGGGACCACTCCCCCCAGCACCCCTGTCCCCTCCACAGCGGTACCGTCCCGCCGCAGGCCGCACTCACATCGGCGGCGTTGCCGCGGGGGAAACGGAGGTCGATGACAGCGACGCCGGGCCGGGCGGGCTCGGTGCCCCCGCTCAGCTGCAGCGCGGCGGCGGGGCGGGGTGCGCAGGGCAGCGGGGAGCGGCCCGGCCCCACCGGCAGCCCCGGCCCCGCCGCTCCCGACATGGCGGCGCCGCGCGGCCGCCCTTCCTGGGCGGGGCCGGCACCGGGGCAACGCCGACCGGAAGCGGGGCCCTCCCTCCCGCCAGCAGGGGGCGCCGCTCGCCCGGTGCTGGGGCGGTGGCCGCGCACACGCGTTCCCGGCGGACGGGGCCCGTTCACCCCCGGCAAGGGCGGCAGCGGCGGGCGCGGCCCCGTGCGTGAGCTCCTCCCGCCCTAACGGACCCTAAAGGGCGCCCCGGGGAAGCGCAGCGCGGATCCGAGCGCGGTCGGCGCCAAGGAGAAAGAGAGGGAAGTGATGGAGGCGGCGGCCGCGGGGCCCGGGCTCGTACAAACGGCGGGCAGCGCTACACCGGGTTTAACTCTTTTAATAAACGATTGGAGGCTGTATCAAAACTCTTGTAAAAAATTAGGTTTGAGACGTCACTGATGTTCTTTTTTTACTATGAACTGATCCTGCCCTGCTTTTTCTCTTCCCCCTTTTTTTCCCTTCTTTCCCCCCCTGCCCCTTTAACTTTTCATCTTTTCCAACAGCATCCCGGCACTGAGCAGCCGGGAGGAAGTGCACAACCCGCAGCCAGGGGCCGGGGAGGCTGCTCCGGCACCGCTTCCATAAGTAGAGGCAAAGAGACAGCACCAGCCTCAGAGAAACCCTCCCATCACCACTCAAACTCCCCTCCGGGTGTGGGGTTTGCTCAGTAACAGGCCACCCCAACCCCAGTACTCGTGGGGAAGAGGAGACGCTGTTGCATCGTGGGGGCCCCACTCACCCTCTGGGCACAGTGCTGAAGCCAGAGGTACCCGCAGCCAGTCTGACTCAAGTGATGACTACTGCAGGATGTGAGAGAAAATAGCATTTCTTTCATTAAAAAACAAAAGAATCAACCCCCAAATCTAGAAGCTGATCCCCACCTCTGAGGAGGAGGAGGATGCTGGCTGCCCTCCAGGGTCTCTCCTTCACCAGCCCTGTATCACCCTGGAGCTCAGCTGCAGCACAGCACTGCCCTCCCCTTTCCCAAACCTACACATCCCACTTCAGGGGAACAGCAGATTAAATGTAAAAACTTAAAACCATCGACTTCAGAAAGTCCCTTGAATTTAATTATTTTGTTTTAGGCTACCTTTCATGTTACGTCCTGTAGCTAGACACACGTGAATAGAAAAAACAGTACAGTTAGTGTTAAAGGCAAACAGCGGAGACCCAGAGTGCTACCCCAGTGCTGCCTGCTCCTCCCAGCCCGACCCATCCCGACCCATCCCGTCCCCTCCCTCCCAGCCGCCAGGAAGGCGTGTTTGAGCCGAGAGCCGAGATTTTTTTCGTTTCTCTATGAATAAAATAAAACCAAAGCTTGTTAGGCAAAAATAAAAGGAGTGTCCCCCCGAGTCCCCCGAGTGCGGCGGGCACAGCCAGGGAGCGTCTGCTGGGGTTCTGTGTTCCCGGCTGGCGAGGGGGCTGACGGCCCACAGACAGCACTGGTGTGGAGCTGGAGTGGAGGCCCCTTCTCCCCCCCCCGCCCCCCGAGATCCTCCTGTTCGTTAAGGGGGCACGTAGGGCGGCGGGGACCTGTACGGGGTCATGTTCTTCGGACGGGAGCCTTTGCCTTC